CTTACTTAACAATTAAATTTGTAATTATAATTTACTAATCAAATAATTATAATTATTTATAATTTTAAATAAATTAATCAGATTTGCCATGCTCAGCTGAAATTGAAAGAAGCATGGCAAATCTGAATTGCGAATTTGATTTGAGATTTGCCATGCTTGTTTCGGTCATGCACACTGACCGAAACATGCAGGAAATCTCATTTGCTCATTTCCCATGCTTCTTTCGATTTCAGAATCCTGACATGACATGCCAAATTGATTCAAAATTTTATTTCGGTCAATTTTATTAACCGAATTAATAATATTTTGTATTATTTTTTAAAATAAAATAATAATAGATTTTTTCTTATTTTTATTCGGTCAAGTGACTTGACCGAATAAACTATTACTTCATAATTCGGTCAAGCCACTTGACCGATTTGATTTGGCACCAATTGACACCAAATTATTTATGTCAAGTGGCTTAACCGAAGTAAAATAAGACTGAATTATATACCTTTTTTTATTTTTTGCGGACAAATATGATATTCAGTCATTCAATTTGTCTGAATTATTCGTTTTTTCGGTCAAAAAAATTACTTGACCAAAATTTTTTAACCGAAATTGTGCTTTTTTCTAGTAGTGGAAGTAATTTTTAAATTTTTCTTCCAATATAAATTTAAACTTATCACTAATAAACAATATAAAAAAAAAGCAAAAACTCCAACAAACTTCACTAAACATGTCCTTATTCTATTTTTTATAGTGTCAATGCCCATTGAGATTGACATTTTCCTGAAAATACTCTCCAAAAGTGCTTCAATTTTTTTAATTAAAAGCCTGTTTTTTTTTTTTCTAATCCAATCATACCAATGTTCGAATGTATTTAACTATGTTGATGATTTTAAATTTAAAACTAAGAAAGAATAGAGCATATCAATGTTTATCTGATTTTTTTATTTGTTTGGATTAAGGGATGGAATGTCTCATTCGTATGGGGAAGGATATGCAACGAGGTCAGACGAAGAAGGGTTTGGAGGGATTTATGGTGGGAACCAGTCCATACCCAAAGACAAGGATAAAGTGATTCATGAAAATCACCCTGGTAACTTATACCTTAATTTACCTTATTATATATTCTGAAACTAGCTGGCGTGTATAAGACTAATTAAGCCAAATTCATTTCCATCTTTGCATTTCTAAAGATCTCAAATTGTTTTTATGTAAGTAGAACCTAGACCATTAGATGGGGAGCTTTCTTATATTAGGTTTATGTCCATCTGATGGTGAATTATGGATAATTTAATACAATTTAAATTGTATAAATTTTTTTTTCTATGTATGTGACATGTGTAATTTTTTATATATTTTTGTTTTGATGGTTTAAAAGCTTACGACAAGAACCAAGGTACTGAAGTGAAGGAGAAGGAGAAAGCAAGGCACCAAACCAATGCATCAAGTTAGAGAGCTTATGTTGCTGGATAATTTTGTTTTATCAATATACCTAAGTTATGTATAGGAAATATCAGTGTCGCCTACCACTTTTTTCCCCTTTCGATCTTTTTACTTTTTATGATGGTTTCTCTTGAACAGGGTGTTGTTTATGTTTACCCTGTTTTAGCAGGGAATGAAATATTCTGATTTCTGTTTTCTTTGGCAGCTATTAACGTCATGTAACACAAAATCAACAAATGATAGAAAAAAGTGCTATCAAATTTCAATGGCCATCTTAAGAACGCAGGCCAGTTTGGCCAAGCTCATTTTTTAAGCACTTTTTCTTTTCACAAGTTTTGTTACATGCAATTTTTGAACTTTTTAGGAAAATAAATGACTTTTTAAAAAAAGAAATTGCTAGTAAACACTCCCCTTTTTTAACAGTAGTCATTTTGGGGAATGGGGATGGGATGAGGAAATGCAACAGCAATGGCTCGAACCTGACAAAAGCCACTCTTCCATATCATTTTGGCGCATTTATAGTAACTATTTTAATTACAGTCACATAGTTATAACATTATGTATTATTGAAATAAATAAATAGAGATAATGTTAATAAACTATAATATTGTAAATAAAATTTTAAATAAAAAATTAATTTTATAATATATAATAATTATAAATTTATAATAATGTAACATCACATAAAATTATAATTATATATATTACATTATTTTCCCACTCGCGGGAGTGCATGTTAAACTTGGAAAAGCGCTATAGATCGAGTGCATGTTGAACTTGGAAAAGAAATACGTGCTTATTAAGCAAATTGTTAGAAAACACGTCCCGCCCCGATTTTGCAAACAGCACCCCGACTCCATCTACTACCCAAATACAGCATTGACCCTACTTACTCACTGCGGCAGTCAGTGCGGGTGTTGTACACCAAGTACTGTAGGATAAAAGACATCGATATATCTCTGAGTAGGATACCATACGCTTAACATGTCCACATGAGAAATACACTTTAAGCAGCCGCAGCTTTGCCTGCATTGTTAGGGGTACACTAAATTTTTAGTAAATATCATAGTTTTAATCGTTGTATTAGTAATTTTTTTTATTCACTTTTTTTCTAATTGTCTTTGTTAAAAAAAAAAAAAGAGAAATACACTTTAAATTTGTCAAATTAGAGTGAATTTTCTTAAATTATGTTGTTAAAGGATTAATAATTTTAAATTTGTAGGTAATACTAATTATTTAAAATTTTTATAAATTATTGAGACTAAATAAATGGTTAAGCCTCAAAAAAGGTTACTTATAAACACTATCCTTTTTTTCAAGAGTAGTAATTTTTGGGGATGGGGATAGTAGGAAGAAATGTCATAGCAGTAGCTCAAACCTGGCAAAGGCCAATCTTCCGCATCATTTCGAGCACACTTATCAAGTGCTCTAATAATAATATAGCTATGAATTATGTGTTATTAAATAAATAAATTATATAATATTATAACTAAATTTTTAAATAAAAAAGAGTTAATATGTCAAAATTATAGTTAATATTATAATTATAAGATTATTTAGATTAGTTATTTAAATACAATTAATATTTAATATTTAATTATTATTATTTATAATTTAAAACATTTAACCAGTTTTAATTAAAACAAACACTCCTTTTTCTTTTTAGCCAGCCGCTCCAACCCAACAAGTTCATCGTGAACTTGGAAAATAAATAAGTGCTTACTAACCAAGTAATTAGAAAAAGGGTATTAATATAGAAATAATTTTTTATATTATTTTTTTACATGTATAAATATATATTTAATATCAGGAATTTAAATAAATAAATAAAATTAATTATTTAAATAATATATAAATTTGTAAAAAAGAAAAAAAAAAAACATAAAAACTATCCCTAAATCATTTTCCATTAGAAAATGAAGTCCCGCCAAATGCCCAGATTCTGCAAAACAGCACCGGTATTCAACTCCTACCCAAACACAAATCCCTATTCCCTAATCTATAAATACAGAAGCTCTCCATTGCTAAAAGTAGAAGCACTATTCCCTATTTTCTGTAGATAACGCGAAGAGCGATCGATATGGATTGTCCTTTTTGCTCCAACAATCGGGCTTTACCATCTCCGCAAGACCCGTTGGAGCTTCGTGGCCAAGCGAAGCCGGCTCGTGCTCGGAAGGTGGAGTCGATTCCCGTTCACTTCGTTGGGTCTGAGCGGAGCCTTATCCGACTCTGCCGTAAAGATTCAGAAGGCATTTAGGGGATTCTTGGTGAGGAAGTGCGTGCAAAAGATCGCTGCGATTAGGAAGGAAGTGGACGCGATAGAGTACAAGATTGCGGAGAAGTAGACCTTCGATTTGATTCTTAGGGATTCGATGGAGAGATTGAAGGTGATTGAGACGTTGATGAGCTTGCTGTTTAGGTTAGACTCGGTGAGAGGAGTCGACTCTGGGGTTAGGAATTTCAGGAAGACGATGGTGATTAAGAAAGCCATTGCGTTGCAGGATCTGATTAACGTAATTGTTACCGGCAACCAGAAACCAGAATCTGCGATTTCCAAAATTGTTGATCAGAATCAAACCGTGAAAATTGAGGAAAACATAGTGAATCGAACCCGAAAAAGACGGCGGACAAATTCTGCTTGCAATTGCCAGATTAATGAGGCTGAGCGAAATCGAGGGTTAGAAAATCAAGAAAAGGAAGAAAACGAACCTCAATATGTGCGTAGAAATTTTGGTTTTTGGCTATTTGTGTCTGTTTTCATTCTTTCTGCGGTAAGTCTTTTTTGTTAGATCTTTTAATTTTGTTTTGTTGATATGTGTTTCAAATTCTTTCTATTTTTGTTCCAACGGTCAATAATAGATAGAAATCTCAAACATTTATTATTCTTTGGACTCCTGAATCAATGATTACATGCGGGTCTAAAATCAAGTTTAGTGAAATTTGTATGAGTTTTTTTTTTTTTTATTATTATTTATAAGTGATAAGTTTAAATTTTTTAAATTTTTATTGAAGAAAAAATTTAAAAGTTACTTTTAAAAATAGAAAAAAATAAGTAAAAAAGAAATTTATAAAAATCAAAAATTTGAAATTTTTCAAAATTTACAGTTTAAAATTTTTTTAAAGTTAAAAAAAAGTTAAAAAATGTAAATTTTTAAAAGAAAAATTTTAATTTATAAAACATAAATAGTATCTAAAAGTTGAAGCTCTTACAACTTTCACTAAACATACTTTAAGGGTTTGTTTGGTGTAGCTTGTTGGAGTTTTTGCTTTTTTCTGTACTGTTTATAAGTGATAAATTTAAATTTTTATTAGATAAAAAATTTAAAAGTTACTTTTAGAAACAGTAAAAAGTGAGTAAAATGAAAATTTATGAAAAGTTTAAATTTGAAATTTTTTATCTTTGACTGTTTAGGGTCTTTTTAAGGTTAAAAAAATGTTTAAAAATATAAGTTTTTAAGAGAAAAATTTTAACTTATGAAACATGAATAATGTCAAAAAATTGAAGCACTTGGAAAGCTGCACTAAATGGACCCTAAATAAGCTTAGGAATCAAATATCTCTCTTATTGTTTTAAAAACAAATCAAACTGGTCAGACCGATAGTTACTGCTATAATCAGGTTATGTGAGTACTTAAAAGTGATAAAAAAGTTGAATCGTTCAAAATTAATTAGAACCGTTT